GCTACCAGAGCTCCTTTAAAGGCATGGAATCATGTTTAATTTAACCTCTTGCTACTGTTGTGAGGTGTCATCAAGTCAGTTCAGAAACTTATACAGTACTTCCGAGGCTTTAAATCTTTTGTGGGAGCAGAAATTCTCATCTTTCTTCTGTGGGGCAACTGGCAGACTTGAGCCACTGACATTGTGGTCTGCAGTCCACTGCTTACCCTATGGAACCACTGTGTTCCCTCCTGTTGCCACTGATAGTCATTTAATCCAATACCCAATGTTATTTATTGAGCATTTACTATGTGCGTTGAGAATACAACAGTGAACGTGGTAGACAAGTACCTGCTCTCATGGAGTTTCCATTTTAGAGGAAGTGGGAAGTGGTAAAACTGGGAATACATTAGAGAATAAAATTAGAGGATTTCAGGAATGACAAATACCAAAAAGAAAAATTAAACTGGGGGTGGAAAATGACTTTAGCTGCTATGGTTAGGGAACTCTCTGTGAAGGTGATGTAGAAGATGAGAAGAGACCAGTTATACAAAGATTTGGGGAGAAAACATCATAGGCAGAAACAGCAGAAGGCACAAAGGCTTAAAGGAAGAATGAACCTGATTTATTCAAGAAACAGCAAGGAGGTGAGAGTACCTTCAGTAGGAGAAAGATCTTGCAGGTCCTGTATGTCTTTATAGGAACACATTTTTCCCCCTTGGGTAAATACCCAGTGGAATTGTTGGATCTCAGGTAGGTGAATGCTAAACTTTATGAGAAATTGCCAAACTGTTTGTAGTATTTTACATTTCCACTTTTAGTGTAATGAGAATCCCAGTTGTTCCAGATCCTGCGAAATCGCATTAGGGATTTATTTTGGTCATCAGCTCCTCAGAAATCCTATACAGGGTCGCCATGAGTAGGAACCTACTGGGCAGCACTTAACAACAACAACAGGAGGTGTGTGGTGTGGCACTGTAGGATCTCAGCACTGGACTTCCAATCACAAGGTCGGCAGTTCAAACCCACCAGCTGCTCCTTGGAAACCCTATACAGGGTCGTTATAAGTTGGAATCAACTTGATGGCATTTAACAACTTAACAACAAGTAGGTATCTGGTGGTATTTCATTGTGGTTCCACTGTACATTTCCCTAAAGACTGATAATGTTGAGTACTTTCTACATACTTACTGGCCATTTCTTATTTCTTGTGATGTGTCTGTTCAAATCTTTTGGCCAGTTACAAAATTGAGTTTCAAAAGCTTCCTCTGATCTCCACTGAGTGGTTTCCAACCTGTCTGAACAGGGCTGGTGAAAGGAGATGGGGATAAAACTCTTGTGGTTCATTAGTGAATAATTGCTATCAGGACTGATTATGAGTATTGCAGATGGAAAGGTAGACGTTTTGTAATAAAAGGAGGGGAGTGGTTGATCTTGCAGTCTAGGAGCAGAGGACCCTGGGACCATCAAGAGAGAAGAGCAGAATGCGGGACCCTATCCAGAGAAGCAGTGATGCCTGAGATGGAGCGGCTGGGGACTCTGGACTCAGGGAGCCAGAGGGACTGTGTGCTGACGGCCGGTGGGCAAGTTTGCGGGGTGTTTGAATCGTTATACATTCCTGAGTGCTTGGTGTATATCTTAAAAAAAAAAAAAAACCCAGAGGGAATGGAGGCAAATGCATGGAGGGGACTGTAATCATTGCAATGAAACGAAATACGATAGGATGAATGTAAAGCTGATGTTCTCCCATGTAAACTATCACTCAATTCACAATAAAAACTTAAAAAAAAAAGCAGCTTCCTCTGGCTGCTGTGGGATTGTGGAGGGCTAAGAGTAGAAGGAGGGAGAGAGAGTAACGGAGGGATTGTAACTTCCACAGAGGTGAGGTGTGTTACAGGCTCAACACAGCCTGGTTTCCGGACAAGTCAGCTTTGACCTTCCCCAGCTGCTTGGCTCTTGGGCTAGTGCCAAGAGAGCTTGAGGCACTCTACAGACCTCACATGGGGGCCCTCAGCCCTGTTTCCTGGGGCCTGGCATCATGGGGGAGGGGAGCACCCAGCCAGTCAGATGCTCCGCACAACAGCCTCTGCTTTCACCCAGTACAGGGGCCTTAACTGTCCACAGATCAGAGATCATCCAGGCCTACCTTCTATCGCCTAAACCAGCCTAATCATACTGTCTATTAAAATATTGAAACATTTCACTTCTGCTCAGTAAAGAACTCCTCCCCACATCCCATAAGTGGCCCCAATACCCAGGTCTGTGCCCTGGGGCCCCTGGGACTTTATCAAATTTCAGCAGTTAAAGAGATAGCTCCAGGACTCTGCCCAAGTCCAACATGCCTATGTGTACAGGTAGTTAGATTGAATATCTTCTTGGGACAACCCAGACCTGGCTGGAGTTGAGAGGCTCAGATTAGGAGGATAACACTGATGGATTGAGGGGAAATTTTTTATCAAAGTGAGTCCCAAACTGAAGACTTCAAAAAACACTAAGTCACAATAATGACAATGACTAATGTTTACTGAGCATCTACAGTACACCAGGCATTGTTTTAATACTGGATGTGAATTGCTTCGTTAAGTCCTCATAATAAGTTGGACTGTCACAGTTCTTGTTCTTGTCCCTGCCCCTATGGTCTGTTCCCCACACACAGCCAGAGATGGTGCCTGAGTCACATCATCACACGCCCCACCCCTCCGCCTAGTTTCTTCTCTCCCCTTTGCACCCTTTAGTCATGATGAACATCATGGCGAATCCAGTGGAGCTCCACGCTCACACTAGACCTAATTGGGGGGGGGGGGGGGGGGGCTTTAGATTCTTTAATGACAGGATTAGGTGCCCTGGTAGATGGTGGTGGTTATGTGCCATGGAGTCGGTTACAACTCATAGCGACCCTGTACAGGGTTTCTGAGGCAGTAAATCTTTACGAGAGCAGAAAGCCTCATCTTTCTCCCGCAGAACATCTGGTAGTTTCGAACTGCTGACTTTAAGGTTTGCAGCCCAATTCTTAACCACTATGCCAGGGTTACAAGTTGGGCTGCTAACCGCAATGTCAGCAGTTTGAATCTACCAGCTACTCTTCAGGAGAAAGATGAGGCTTTCTGTGCCTGTAAAGATTTACAGCCTTAGAAACCCTATACAGGGTCACTATGAGCCAGAACCCACTTGGCAGCACACAGCCACCACCACCAGTGACAGGATTGGCCAGGCTGGGGCAATAACAATGACCCTTAGCAGACAGTGGTGTCTCAACTTGGGCCTCCACCCTCCTCCAGACTACAAACCCCACCCCCACCATCTGTCCCATGACCAGCCTCTAGTTTCCCCTTTTCTCTCTTTAGCTTTGACCTATGGAACATTGGGATTTGGCAAGTGGACTGGGAGGGGGACTTCCTGCAACTGGCCCATCCCCGCCCCCCAGCACCCTAACCTCAGGTTCCTCCTTCCCTAGTTTCAGCTCTCAGCTCCGGCTGCTGCTGGTGCTAAATATTCCTGTTTCCTCCTGGGTGGCCTCTTTTAGTCCTGCTTCTAGCTACTTCTTCATTCTGTGAGACAGCCATTGGTTTGTGGTCACTACATTGACCCCATTCGCCTCACCCCCAGCTCTTGTCTGTGCAATCTTTACCACTGTGGTTGTCTTCCTCTTTCTCTGCCTGGCCATTGTTTTCTCCTCCCTTACTTCTCTTCCTATATTTTTGCTTTACTTTTTCTTTTCTGTTGAAAAGTCAAAAAGCTGTCTTTGGGGGCTGGGTTCCAGTCCCTTTACTTGTTGTATGACCTTGAGCAGCTGTCCTTATTCCGGGATGCTAAGTGGCTACCTCCAAAGGATGTTGTGGGGACTGAATGAGTTTATGTTTAGGACAGAATCTTAAATCATCAGGGTCCGTGTCCCAATATTTTTTCCCCTAAATTGTATTTATTTTGTTGTTGTTGGGCATATACATTGACAGTTCTACTTTCAGATCCTAAGAACATCCCAAGGTTCTGATTATCAAATAATTATAGTCAACACTTACACAAGAAAAGCTGACAAGTGTCATACCTGGTTCTAGGAACATTAATTTATTTAATTCTCACAAAAATCCTATGAAGCAGCTATTATTTTATTCCTCATTTTTGTTGTTGTTAAGTGCCACTGAGTCTGTTCTGACTCACCCTCTATAGGGTTTCTAAGGAGCAGCTGGTAGGTTTGAACTGCTGACCAATGGAGTTAGCAGTCTAGTGCTGATCTGCAGTGGCACATCAAGGGTTCATTTTACAAATTAGGAAATGGAGACCCAGAGAGAATGAGTGACTTACTCAAAGTTGTCCAGCCAGAAGGAGCTGGCTTCCGTTGATCAGCCACTAACCCTTATATTACCATGAAGTCTGACCCCCAGGTCACGGAAGGAGGTCAAAAGCCGATGATACACATGTCCTTTTCCTTTCACATCCAGCTTTTGGCAGCTGCAGCATGGCCCCCCTGGGTGTTGGATCCTAATTCCTATTGTTAGTTCTCTCTGCCCTCCTCGCACATTGTCCCCTCCTCCCCACTACCACCCTCCTTCTCAGACTTCCTGCTTTAGTTGGTACTACAATAAGGCACGTCCGTCCCACTGGCCTTTAGACTGTGGTGTCCAGCGGCGTCACTTGCATCATGGCGGGCATTAGACCCTCCAGTAGACTCCTGCTTCTACCTCTTCTTCTGACTGTGGGCGGTGAGTTGGGGTCTTCTGCCTCTGCCTCCTGGGTTTCAGGTTCAGCACAAGGCAGGGAGCGGGGTAAAAAGAGGAAACCAAAGGAAAGGTTGGGGCAGAAGAAGACGAGTCTTCCCGAGTCTTCCCGGAGACTGAGAGCCTGAGAGCCGAACACTTGGCCTCAGATGGAAGCCGGGGCAGGTATTACAACAGGACAAGTCAGAATAGTGGTAATGCAGCCCAATGGACTTTACGTGGCCTGCCAGGTACCAATAGAGGCTGCCTTCTGAGAGTCAGGATCCATTCTCCCCAGGGTCCAGCAGTACCACCCCCATAATAATCCCATACTTCAATTTACCTTCTTTTTCCCTCCTCAGGTCTCAACCCTGCCCAGGCCCAGAGCGGTAGGACTCCAGATCTTGTGACCTTCTTCCCTACTCCCAATATCTTTTCCCCAAATGACTCCAAACCTTCCTCTTCTGACCACCCCCTACCTCCACCCTGGCCCAAACCCCCAGCCTCCACTAACCTCTCCTGACCCCTATGCCAAATCCTCAGAATGCAAGTGCCCTGCGCTTGGCCCTGCTGTGCTGGCTGGGATCGTGCTGGGGGATCTGGTGTTGACTCTCCTTATCGCCCTGGCTGTGTACTCGCTGGGCCGGCTGGTTTCTCAGAAACGAGGAACTGTGGAAAGTGAGTGGGACAGGTGGGAGATGATGGGCCTGGGACAATCTGAGGCTATGCCTGGTGGGGAGGGGTAAATTCCAGGTCATAACCAACCAGAGAGATGGTGCTGGTGCTGGAGGGGTTGATTTTGAATCAAGAAACTGATTCCAATTCAGCACCCCGACCATCTCATTCTCTCTCTCACCTCTTCTCCCAGCAGGGACGGGGAAACAGCGCATTACTGAGATGGAATCACCCTATCAGGTGAGGAGAAAGACTTCTCTCCTTCTACTTTCATATCTGCTCTGGGGGGTTGTGTTCTAAACACCCTCCTTCATTCCCTCCAGGACTCAGACCAAAAATCCCTTCCCAGCATGTCCTCCAAAAATAAAAGCATGGGGCATTTGTTAAAAACCTGCTTTAACTGATTAATGGCCACCTTATGCTCAGCTTAAAATGTATGGAGAGGATATATGGGGATGAGTTTGTCTTGGCAAAGGCAAGCTCTTCAGTCTTACTGGGAATGCATGTTCTAAATTAATCTGGAAAGGCATTTCCCAGGTGGCCACAACACAGGCAATGGGTGGCCCTAGGATAGACTGATTTGGGGGAGTAGCTCTCCTAAGGACAGAGGTTCTAATTCGGTCTGGTTTGGGAACTCAAAAGATCAGGGTTCTTGGACATTTTAGGGGATCCTATAGGGAATAGTCGCTGGAGAAGGATGTCATGCTGGGTAAGATGGAGGGTCAGAGAAAAAGAGGAAGACCCCCAACGAGATGGATCGGCCAGATGGCATCATTGATGACATCAAGTGTGGCAGCGGTAGTGAGGTTGGCCCAGGATCGGACATTGTTTCGTTCTGCTGTGCATGGGGTCGCTATGAGTCGGTTCCGACTCGATGGCACCTGACAACAACAACAATATTCTGGTGTAGCGCTGTGGGTTAATGCGCCAGACTGTAAAGCCGTTTGAACTGCAAGGTCGGTGGTTCAAGCTCACCAGCTGCTCCTCAGAAACCCTATGCAGGGTCGCTATGGGTCGGCACTGACACAACGGCACTTAACAACAACAACAACATATCCCTTTAAGAAGCTGACAAAGGCTTGAAATTGTTCCAGAAAAATTCATGTAAACGACACACAGTCATGCATCAAACCCAGGGATCGTTCATGTATCCTTGAAACTCTTCTTAAGAATCCTTTGTCTACACATGTTCGTAACCCTTTGTGGGGAGGTGGGGTCATGGATTCCTCTGAGCAGCTAATGGGAGTCAAATAGAACTCCTCCCAGAAAGATACACAACTAGACCCATCATTTATATTCAATTTCAGGAGCTCTGTTTGAGGCCTGCTTCCATGGGGTCATCAACTCTCCTTCCGATTGTCAATCCTTCTCTGTGTTTTACTTGTCTGCTACTGGCTTGCTTTTTTGCCTCAACTGTAGCTAAGAAAAAAAAATGTCTTCATATAAAGTGTGAGAATCTGGAGTTTGGATCTGTGAGGTCCAGAAGGGGGCTTTCTAGTCAGAGTGAAATTTTAGTGCAAAACACGACCTTAATGGATTAATTATTCATTCATTTATTCATCTATTTTGTTGGACACGTACTACATGCTAGATACTGGGGATATAACAGGAGAAGTTAGACTCTAGTTGGGCAGACAGACTTGAAGTAAATAAACAAGACAAATTTGGGAGTTACCATGAAGGCAAATCAAGCAGGCAGATGTGACCATCACTGCGGTGTTGAGGGAGGAAAGTATAGGAGAGGAAATTGAGGACTGCGTCTCTGAGGAGGGGACACTGAGCTGAGACTTGAAGAGAAAGAAGGAGCCATCCATGGGAAGCTCTAGGGAAATGGTGTTCCAGGCAGACAGAGGAGCACACAGCTGGAGCGTGAAAGGAAGGGGCTTACTGAATGCTCTTGAATACAACCCAAGACCTTGTTCATTGCTTTTAAGGTTGAAGAAGCTAGCAGGAACCTCATAGGCCACAGAGAGAGGCTGGAGTTTTCTAAGTTTATTTGGTGGACCCTGTCCACCGGTGACCTCCAACCCCTCCACCTATTGCCCTCTTCCCTTTAGGAGCTCCAGGGTCAGAAGCCGGATGTCTACAGTGATCTCAAAATACAGAGGCAGTACTACAAATGAGGTCACACCACTAAAGCCAACAACCTGATGCCTGGATCCCTGATACTCAGCCAGCATCCCATTTCTACCCCCACCAAGGCACAGATCTGAAGTGCCTCCTGGATATATCAAAGTCTCCCCACCACCATCCCCCAAATAAACATGGAGCGCAAAAACACTATTGAGTTATGTCAAATCCTTGTGCTGAGGGAATGGGGATATGTGAGTCCTTCAGAGAAAAAGAGGAAGACCCCCAGCCAGATGGATTGGCAAAATGGCAGCATCAATGGGCTCAAGTGTGGCAACAATTGTGAGGTTGACCCAGGACTGGGCAGTGTTTTGCATAGGGTCGTTATGAGTTGGTACGGACTCGATGGCACTTAACAACAACAACAAACAAGAGGGTTTAAAGGAGTCCTGAGGGTACAGTGAGTTAAGCATTGGGCTGCTAACCATAAGTCAGTGATTCAAACCCACTAGCACTGTCTGCTCAAAGATTTAGTTTCCGAAACCCTATGAAGCAGTTCTACACTGCCTTATGAGTCAAAATTGACTTGATGACAGTGCGGTTTTTTGGTTCTTTTAAAGAGATTTTGGCCTCAGAAACAGCTAAATATAGGAAGAAATTTTAGGAGATCTTAAGGTTCCTTGAAGAAGAATTAGAACTAGAAGTATTTCAATTGCTTTATTTCAAAATGATGCCACCACTCACAACTCATAATTAGAGGGTCAGGCATCCATCGCAGATCCCAATTACAGGGGTTCAGCCCCTGCCAGGCATGTTGATGTAGATTTTGCCATCTTCTAGGGGCAAGAGAGAGACAGTATGAAACCTCATCTTCTAAATACCCATCTTTACCTCTCTGGGGACTCCCTGCCTCAGGGGTTTCCTCAGGACTTCCCCCAGGTACCACCCCCAGGGTTTCCCCAGTACCTCCTCCAGGGCTTCCCAGGGCTCCTCTCCCTGGGGTCCCCTTCCCTAGGCCCTCCCCTCCATAAGCCCCACCCCATTTCTGCCCTCACCCTGCATGGGTTTGTGGCGTGGGCGTACACACATGAACACCGCCCCCACGATTAGCAGGGACATGACAGCGTCAGCAGCCACAAGTCCAGCCAGGAGTGGCAAGGAGAGAGGCCCACAACCGGAACAGGGACCTGGAGGGTGGAGGCCAAGACATGAAGGGAGTTGAGGAGGGTTCCAGACCCCTGGGACTATGCTTTAGATGGGAGGGAGGGGGGCAGGGGAAGCACTAGACAGAGGCTAAGGAGAAGCCCAGATTTCTAGAATTATAATTTGGGATGAAAGGAAAGATGGAGATTCATCTGCAGGCTGGGAGTATCTTCAGGACAGACACCTGGCTCTGTGCTCTGGGTTTAGAGAGTACTTTCAGAGAGAGGATGTCGATTCCATGGAGCTATAATTTAGTGATGAGGGGGGACAAGATAGGGACACGGAGAGAGCTGCAGATCTTCTGGGGGCTCCAATCTGGGAATGAGACCAGTGACCTGGAGAGCAGCTTAGGGTCTGGGACCCTCAAACCACTCTTAAAGAATCGAGACAATAACTGAAGTACCAGGGCAAAGAGGAAAAAGTGTTGATCTCTTACCTGGGGTTGTTTGAGCTGCAGTCACTGTGAAAAGAGAAGGAAGGGGGGTCAGGGGTAAAGAGGTGGTTCCCCAAATAAAGTGCAAGAAAAGGGGATATCCTGAGAAGAAACCTTCACTCTGGGGAGATCCAATGGGAAAAGGAAACCAAACAGAAAGGAGAGGATCACAGGGAGAGACAGAAATTTGAAGTAGTGGCAGGATCCCAGAATGACAGCTATCCCAGAATTTCCCCTCCAACCTCCACCAAGAACCCCGGGCCTAAAATAGAATGGATGGATCTTCAGAGAAGGAAGGGATGCAAGGATAAGGACCCATGGATAAAGACCCTTCAGGTGCCATCCAAGCCACTTCTTTCATAAATACTCTGCCTGCCACCTCCCTCTACCCTGTCATAACCATTGGATTCACCTGGTAGCAAAAACAGGAGCAGGATGTGGCCTGGAGGGATCATGGCTAACTGGGGACTGGGGAGGTCTGGCAAAGGGCGGTGGTCCAAAGAAGTTCCGAGGAACAGTGGAGGAGCAGAGAGGAAGCTGTGGCGGATGTCACTCTATTGGCAGTAAGCCTACCTGTTTCCTGTGTGTGTGCATTAGTGTGTATGTGGTGGAGGTTGTTGGGGTGAGTTCTTGTGACTGCTCCCTTTGGGAGGGACAAAGGGACAAGTGCAGCTGCTATGATTGTCTAGGTGGAGGGTGACAGGTGGGCTATGATGAGGTACTGAGGGATTCCGAGAAAATGTTGATGTTAGAGCCAATAGAACTTGCTGAAGGAATGGGTGTGGATGTGTATGAAAGAGAAGGACCAAAGATAACTAAGGTTTCTGACTCAGGCAACTGAGAAGACTGAGCATCCATCTACAGGAAGGTGGGGAGTAGGTTTTGGGATGAATTCTGAGATTTGGACCTACTGAGTTGGAAATGCCTGGTAGAGTTCAGTGTAAAGATGCTGAGTGATTACAGAAGCATTTGTGACTTCAGGGGATGTATCTGGGCTGGAAATGTAAATTTGGGGATTGATGGGTATGGATGGCATTTAATGTCACAAGAAGGGATGAGATCACCAAGGAAGTGAGTACAGACTGGGGAGAGGCCCCTTCCTCCAGGAGAATGAGAGATGAGGAGGAAACTGACAAGGAGCAGGAAGTGACGCAGAGAAGGAGAGTGCCTGGGGTTCTGAAAGCACCTCAGAGAAATATCAGCATGGTCAACGCTATGGCGCTGTCACCAACATGGGAACTGGGAACCAACCTCCCTGCTACTTAGTTCACAATAGTGACACTGTGAGAGGGGAGGACACCCCCCCAAAAAAAAAGGTCAGTGTTTTGTGCAGTGTCTCAGCAGAGATTTTTTTTTTTTTCAATAAAAGTATTCCTCCAGTACTAGTCATACCAACAACAAAAATTTTTTTTCTCATAAGCTTAGCTTATTATGTATCAATTTAACATTTGAAGCTTCTAATGCACTCAGGTCAGAGCTGTGAAACCAGTTGAAATGGTTTCACCTCTACTCGCCACAAGCAGGTGCTATTTTCCTGTCTGCCAGTGCTTTTGTAGTCACTGATTTTATCAAATTTTCTGATGTTTTAGCTACAATATTGTGGTAATTAGTACTTGTGAACCTATTATCAATAAATCTTACTGAGAATGAAGCAGTAATTAAAAAGGAGAAATATTTTTAAAGGCTTCTGCTCAGTTACAAATAATGTTGTAACTCATAATGTTGTAATTCCATGTAGAGTTTACAAAATGATTCTGTTGTTAGTATTCATATAACCGAAAACAGTTACATTTAAGAAATTTACAAGTATAATTAGCACATAGTAGCTCTGGTAGCGTAGTGGTTACTAATCGGGCTGCGAACCACAAGGTCAGCAGTTCGAAACTACCAGCTGCTCCGCGGGAGACAGATGAGGCTTTCTGCTCCCGTAAAGATTTACAGCCTCGGAAACCCTGTACAGGGTCGCTATGAGTCGGAACCGACTCCAAAAAATTGACAATATACATTACTAAGAATTCTGTCTGGTCCAGTACTGGAGGAGGCGCATGAGAGGGGGCCATATGGATGAGACCATGAGTTTATTCCATGGGTGATCCCAACCCTAAGGTTGCCACAGATACTGCGGCACCTAACAAAGTGTCTCACCTGCCGCAATAAATTTATAAATGAGAGCTGGCCTTGGAAAAGGTGAAGGTGAAGTGAAGAAGAGGGAGGAATCTGAGCTCACCTATATCAATCACTCTTGAAGGTCCCTGGGTGGCGCTAACGGTTTGCATTTGACTACTGACCTGCCGCACAGTTCTAGGGATGTGATGTGTAAACTCGCCAAGAGTCGGAATCGACTTAACGGCAACGGGTTTGGTTTTTCTTTTTTAAATATCACTTTTATCTACAGACTTTTCCTCCCTTGAGACCTAGGAGTTCAGGCCTTCAGTTTCCTCATCCCCCAGGATTGGGGAGAACTGTCCCTCAACCAAGGATTCAGGAGTTAAACCTCTCATTCACTTCAACAGGGAACCAGAAGTCCAGGTTCCATAACTCTCCTACTCTCGAACGGAAAAATCGGTACCCCAGACCACATCTTCCTCAAACCAAAGATCCGGATGGGCCCGAAACTGGGTCTTTCCTCTGAGACGCAGGACTACCCGCCCTCCAGGTTGGTCCCGCCCTTTGCTACGCGAAGTAGGGACTCCCGGATCTGTGAGCGGAGCCCTGCCCAGGACTGGGCGGTGCCAAAACCCCAGTTTAAAAACTCGCGGGGACCAGTCCCTACATCGGGGACCCGGCGGCGGCTCCGCGGGGCAACAGCGAGGCTGGCGCAGCGCCGAGGCCGGGGCCCTGGGGCCCAGCAATCCGCGCCACGGACTCCCCGAGGTAATAGATGGGCGGGAAGGTGAGACACGCTCTGCCCCTTAAAGGAGTGATGGCTGGGGGTCGGACTCTTGAGTCCCTGAGACACGTAGCTGGAGCACAAAGCCCCGGGTCCTAAGACTGAGAGTACCCGGGGCCAGGATACGCAGACTCCTAGGTCGTAGCCAGGGAGAGGGCTAGGATTCTGGGCTTCTTGGTCCTGGGGGTGTAGAGGAATGGGAATCTGGAATTGTGGGTCCTGGAGGTGGAAGTGTTGGGACTTTGACTTCTGAAGGCGGGGGCTAGTAGTCCGGCCTTTAGCCTTGAGGAGCTGGATTACTGAGCCCTTGGGGGCGTGGTGGTTTGAAATCGGTCACTGATTTCAGTGGGGGGAAGTTCAAGCACCGGACCTCAGGGGTCTACGCTGGCTGCGACCTCGCCCCGGGACTTTCCGAGTCACCACCAGCCAAGGTCCCTAGGGCTGAGCAGGAATTCCCCACGCGCGGGGATTCCGTGAGCGCCACGCTTGACCGCGCGCCACGCCTCCAGACCGGACCTCTAGGGACCAGAAGGGAAACCGAGAGATGGAAGATTCCTTTGCGTGAGCGCTGTGACGTCAGTACGTCGTGGCTGGGTTGTTTCCGAGTCAGTCCTACCCGGCTTAACCCTTCCATCGCCGAGCTTGAAGGGTGAAGATTCCAGGGCAGTGCTTCCACGATCGAGGGAGGGTTAGGAAACTGGACCCAGGTTTTACGGAGGAGGGGACTGGTGGGTGGTGACTTGGGCCCTGGAGGTGGGGAGGGAGGTTTCTGGACTCCCGTACTCTTGCGTCTGAGGGATGGGGGCCTGGACTGGACTCTTGTAGGAAGGAGCAAGGGACTGGGAGCATGGACCTCTGGATCCCTTATGGCTAGAGAGGGGACTGCTGGAAGGAACCTGGTTTCCTTGGGCGGGGGTGGGGGTGGGAACAGAGAATCTGCGTTTGAGACGGATTGTTGTTGGGAACCTGGATGTACGTCTTCAGAGAGAGATGCCTGGAGACCCCTGAGGTCTCAGGACTGGGAGATTTGGGATGGGACTTTTTACGGAAATGACGGGGAGTAATGAGGGTCGCCTTCCTCCTCCCCCCTTCTCCGTTTCCACGACGTTGGTGGAAAATTGGGTCAGAGAGAAAGTGAGGCGCAAAGGGAAGGAAACGGCGGAGGCGGATACCGCACCCTTATCTTCGACTGACTTAGGCGTTCTCCTCCGGCAACCTGAAATGGGCCATAGTTTCTGGGCGGGAGGGCGCCCAAACCCACACCCCCGAACACTTGAGTTATTGAAGGCCCTTTGGTGACTTCCCTCCCTCTCCCTGAACAGTGAGCAAAAACGAGCGCAGCCACTGCCCATCACAGACGGTGAAGAAGCTTCTGGAAGAGCAGCGGCGCCGCCAACAACAGCCTGATGCTGGTGGGCCCCCGGTGAGGCCCACGGAGCGCTCTGCTCACTGCTGTTCTCTGAAACCTTGCGGCGGGGGCAGGGACTTGCTTGCTTGCTTGCTGGGAGCTGAGGAGTGATGTAGTCTTGGCTTAGAGGACCTGTCTAGAGATAATTAATGGTGAAGAATGCACCAAACCAATTCATCCGTGTTTCTTTTCGCTTATGCCTCTGACAGGGACAGTTTCTGGCTCCATTGGTGCAGTCCCTGACGCCGTCGGCAAATGAAAGTGACGCTGGTAAGTCCAAAAACTAACCAGGTCCCCTCAAATCCCAGTCCTAGCTTCCCTTAGAAATTCAAATGTACCAATTCTGAAAACTTTGGGGGGAAACTAACGTCTCCATTTTTGCTGGGACCCAGTTGTTTGATTTTCCTAATTTTTAGAGTCCAATAATCTACAAACTTAGTCTCTCAGTGGCCCCAGCCCCTCGATGTGACAGAATGACTAACCTTGGGAGGCTCCAAGCCCCCGCACAGGTGCTCCAGTTCTGGCCCATGGTCTCTCCAGCCCTGCTAATGAGACCTGCCCCTGTCCCTCTTCTTACATGCAGGCCACAGTCACTTCCTCACGCACCAGGAGACTGTGAGTTCTGGACTTGGTGGCCTGGCCACTCCCACAGGCCTTCCAGACTGGGATCCCAACACGCATGCCGCCTACACAAACAGCCCTTACTCTTATCCTGCTTCTGCTGCTGAAGGACTTGTGACTTCCAACTTCTACCCACCCTCGGACCCACGGCAGCTGTGCCCATTTCCCCAGGGCATGGAGGTAAGATACAAAGTGGAGACAGGATGCTCAAACCAAATAAAATCCAGTGCCATCGAGTCAATTCGGACTCATAGTGACCCTATAGAACAGCTCTTTAGGGTTTCCAAGTTTGTAAATTTTTATGGGAACAGATAGTCTCATCTTTCTGGTGAGTTTGAACCACCGACCTTGTGGTTGGCAGTCTAAAGCGTAACACACCGCACCACCCCAAGTGCATAATTACTCTCCTGCAGCATTCAAAAGTGTTTAGGGCTCTGTTAAGATCCCATTCCTCAGATGGGTCAAACTGAGGCCTGAAGGTCCAAGGTCACTTGGCACAGATGGGACGCCCAGTCACTCCACCAGGTGCTCTGTCCCTGTTCCTGACTCTGTACATGCACATGTATGTTGTGTGGAGAAGCAGTTTAGGGAGGGAACAGTCTCAGCTGACTGGCTCTCCTCACCGCTGGTACCCTCCAGGACCCCTTGGACTCTCGACTCTATGCAGAACCTTCCCTGCCACAGGCAGAATCCTGGCGAGTTTCTGGACTCCTCTCAGGACCCTCACAGTTACCCCCTGTAGTCCAGGGACCCTCCCTGGAAGCAGCCCGTGCTCACATGCTGGCCTTGGGACCACAACAGCTGTTGGCCCAGGATGAAGAGGGGGACACGTGAGTATGGGGGAATAGGGTCTGTAGGTTCCTGGCTTGGCTTAGGGCTGTGGTGGGGGAGCTCTGCTCACTGCTGTCCCCAACTGGTCCTCAGGCTCCTGCACCTGTTTGCGGCTCGGGGGCTGCGCTGGGCAGCATATGCGGCGGCTGAGGTGATTCAGGCTTACAGACATCTGGACATCCGTGAACATAAGGGAAAGGTGAGGACTGAGGGTCTGAACTCCTGGGGTCAAAGGAAGAGAGAGCTGGGCTCAGGGCTACTGGATCCAGGAAAACAAGGGACTGGGAGCCCAGGCTCCTGGGTCGAAGGAAGGAGAGAGATGAGGGCCTGGACTGATTTTTCCTATGACCTGCAGACGCCTCTTCTGGTGGCGGCCGCTGCCAACCAGCCTCTGATTGTGGAGGATCTTCTGAACCTGGGCGCAGAACCCAATATCACTGATCATCAAGGACGTTCCGTCTTGCATGTGGCTGCTACCTATGGGCTTCCAGGAGTCCTCTTGGTATGGCCAACTGGCAGGTGGGGCATCGGGGAAGAACTGGTTACCCAGATCCTGGTTTCTAGGGCTAGTCAACCTGAGACAATCATTCTTCCTTCTCCCACTCCCAGGCTGTGTTTAACTCCGGGGTTCGAGTTAACCTGGAAGCCAGAGACTTTGAGGGTAAGTCAGGCAGCAGATGAGGCTAATATGGCAGGCAGAGCTGGATGGGTTGAGTAGCTGCAGGTCCCTCACTGTCTCTATTTTGCAGGTCTCACGCCCCTGCACACAGCCATCCTGTCCCTCAACATTGCCATGCACCAACCAGAGCTGTGTCCCCGGGGGCTGAGTACCCAAGCCCAAGACAGGCTGACTTGTGTCCAGATGTTGCTGCACAATGGTGCTGATCACACCAGCCAGGTGAGCTAGACTGTGGACAGCTGACCTCTTGGAAAACAAGTGGGTTCCACACAAAGGCTGACTTTGCCTCTTCATCGCTGTGTGACCTTGAGCTGTTACATCACTTCTCTGTGCTGCAGTTGTCAGCTGAGAATAGTAACATGATTGATCTTAGCTTATATTTATCTAGTATTACTATATGTCAAGCACTGAGCCTCAGGATTCGCTTAGTGAATCCTCATAAACAACCCTGTGACGTATACTATAATTACTTTCACTCTTTTGCTGAAAAATCAACTGAGGCACCCAAATAATCCAAATTCACTGCTAACTAATTAATGCCGACTCATAACGACCTTATATAGGGTTTCTGAGGCTGTGAATCTCCGAGTAACTGCTGGGTTTGAACTTCCAACCTTATAATTAGCAGTCTAATGCTTATTCTACAGTGCCACCAGGGCTCCTAACTGAGGCATGTGGAGTAAAAGTAATCTTATAGCTTGTGAGTATCAGAGAAGGGATTGAAACTCAGGTGATCTGGCCTCAGACCCTGGCTTTTCTGCCCTCAAAGATTTACAACCTCAAAAACCCTATGTTGTTGTGGTTAGGTGCTTTTAAGCTGGTTCAACTTATAGTGATCCTGTGTAGGGTTTCCAAGAAGTGACTGGAGGGTTTATCCTACAGCCCCACACCAGGACTCCTATACAGGGTCACAATGAGTCAGAACTGACTCCATGACATTTAACAACAACCGCCATTAGTCTACCTTAAAAAAATGAACAAAAATCTCCTGATGTCAAATACTCTGGCTATGTTTAAATTTCCATTAGACTCTTAAGTGGACATACGTGCATTTTTAAATTTATTTATGTTAAGTTTTTATTGTGAATTGAGTGATAGTTTACATGGGAGAACATCAGCTATACATTCATCCTGTCGTATTTCGTATCATTGCCATGGTTACAATGCCCTCCATGCGTCATCAATAAACAGCATTTGCTTTTGTTCCCTCTGTTACGCATTTATTTTTTGCATTAAAAAAAAAAAAAATCGAGTTGAAGTGAGGTCCACAGATTACGGTAATAATTTCTTTTCTAGCGTCTCCTCCATTTCTTTGTTTTCTCTTCATCATTTATTTGGGTTGTTTTGTCATGTATAGACAGACACATGGTAAAATTTTTATTATCATTTCACATTCTAAAGGCACATAATAATATTTCATTGTGGAAAAGGTCTGTACTTGCCCCAAACTATGAAGAGACCAAGTAAATATTGCAGAAGACATAGGTTTAGTTAATCAGTAATCCACTGATTAACTCCTATTTTAGATATAATACCTTCCATATGGGGAATAAGGGTACATTTTAGGATGTATAATAGGGTATGAAGGAACCCTGCTGGCACTGTAGGGTAAGCGCTAGACTGCTAACCACAAGGTCAACAGTTCAAACTTACCAGCTGCTCCTCGGAAGAAAGGTGAAATATACAATCTCAGAAACCCTATACAGGGTTGCTGTGAGTCAGAATCTACTCGAAGGCAATGTGTTTGGTTTTTTTAGTTTAATAGGGTGTGGGGTGACCAGGGTAGTTACTAGACCAGTAAGTCCTTTTGTTGTTGTTATTAAGTGCCATCGAGTTGATCCCAACCCAAAGCGACCCTGTATAGGGTTTCCGAGGAGCAGCTGGTGAGCTTGAACCACCAACCTTACAGTTCAAATGGCTTTGCCATCTAGCGCATTAACCCACAGCGCCACAGCAGGACTCAGTGAGTCCTTTCAATGGGAATTTGAAAAGCAATCTTTCTGACAGTGACTTGAGTGGGAAAACTCATATCTGTATGAAATGAATGATACCCCCTAAGAGGTACTAGTCTTGGGTAGCGTACAGCAGACACGACTATAGAAGGTACCCTTGGTGGGGCTTGCAAAGGAGGCCCGGGCTCTCTAAAGTCTCCTGGGTTTCCTAGCAGTGAGTCCTGGTGTGTGAGGACAGGGCTAATCTCTGCTGTCCCTCCCAACAGGAGATCAAAAGCAACAAGACAGTTCTGCACTTAGCTGTACAGGCCGCCAACCTTACCTTGGTCCAGCTGCTGTTAAAGTTGCCACAGAGAGACATGCGGACTTTTGTCAACATGAAGGTGGGACTGCAGATAGTGTGAGATATGGCAGAGAGGGGCAGTGGGGTGTTGGGAGTCCTGTAGTGTGTAGGATATAGAAGGAGGATGCATAGGATGTGGAAAGAGGTTGGGGGGAAAGGTACAGGATATAGGAAAAGAGGAGGTGTGCGGAGGTGTGCGGAGTGTGGGTATAGAGGCGTGTGTGGAATGTGGAGAGACGAGAGGAGTATGGGAGGTGATGTGGGAGGAAGTGTGGGCCTTGGCTGTGGCAATTATAATCTGAACTATGCTGTTGAGGGCCCAGACCAGCCGAGTGTGAGTCCTTATCAGTATTTCTCTCACTGTCCCAGGCTCATGGGAACACAGCCCTGCACATGGCGGCTGCCCTGCCCCCTGGGCCTCCCCAGGAGGCCATCGTGCGGCACTTGCTAGCAGCTGGAGCAGACCCAACATTGCGCAACCTGGAGAATGAACAACCTATTCACCTGCTGAGACCAGGCCCAGGCCCTGAGGGGGTAAGTACTGAGCCCACCCTGATTGTAGACCCCAACATTACGCATTCCTAATGTAGAGGATGACTTAGCATCTCAGAAGGTGACCTTGACCCTTATCCAACCCTGATTTCAAAATGTGATCCCTGACCTTACTATGATAATAAGTACTCTACCCAAACCCTGACCTCTACTCCCAACTTTGAATTGTGACCTCAAGAGTATGACTTTGATCTGCAAGTGTGATCGCTGACCCTTTGCCCCTAATCCTGGGTCCTCACCTCAAAGTCAGACTTAATGACTTTTAATTGTGACCTCTGGCCCCTTAGCTTTTCCCTTAGACCTTTACTCTTTTATCCCTCCTTCTGGTTCCCCTTTCTCAATGTATGAATCCAGACCTTCACTCCCAACACCAAACTCTGGACCTCCAGCCTTCAAACCCAATTGATTCCACTCTGCTTCTCCTCTCTAACTCCTACCTCCCCAACACCTCCCCCTGCTTTGCTTTGTCCACAGCTCCGGCAGCTATTGAAGAGGAGCCGCGTGGCAGCCCCAGCCCTGTCCTCTTAGGACTCGAATCTAGACCTGGACTGATTTTCCAGTCCCCTCCGTCCTGTGGGACAGCCAGCGTATGCTAATGTTGCAAATACATAGTAATATATGTAGAATGTCCAGCTATCCAGGGTCTTACATTAAAACCCCAGAATGGCTGCTAGGGGGGAACAATCCCCAATATTTGGGTTTGTATGATACCCCTCCCCTATCCACAAGGAGCCCGTTGATGATTTCTGTGAAATTGAGGCCCCTTGATTGTTTCTGTGAAACACCCTGAACTCCTAACCCTTTCCCTGCTGGGATTTTCTTTCGAGTTTCCTCCCTAACTCAGCTTTTCATCTTCATACCCAGAACCCTAAATGCAATCCCCATATATAGTACTTGGAATACCCCTAAACAGCTCAAAATATTACTCCAGTTGGATTCCTAAGATGGTCCCCAACTCACCCCGGGACCCTCACCCTTCAGGTCTGAACCTCTGAGGTATAAGAATGTCTCCTAGGCCCTAATGCTTTCTGATTCAGAACTCAATCAGGCCTTTGTTCCAGACTTCAGCATTCCCACTGAATCGCTCTTCTAATTGAAGGTCCCTGAACTTCTATATTAAACTCAATTTGTACGAGCAAGGCTGTTGTCTAATCTCTGGAGGTATTGGTGCAGGGACTGGGTGCCCGTGATGCCTGACTGAGGGGTCATGTTTGGCTGGGGTATATAGCAGACACTGGATGCCAAGTCCATACCCCCTCACCCCGACCCTTTCAATGCATGGGAGCCTGCCTGCCAGTACCAGCCCCTGAAGCTTTGGTCATCCTTGGGCCACTGGTGGGCATGAGTGTGGTAAATTTTAAGTACCAGGGATTCATGCCTGTTACCTACTCCAGTATCCCTCTCTCAGTGACTGATAAGAGATAATGCCCCAGATCCCTTGTTTCTTAGATGAGACAAGTCGGAAGTGCATAGGCTCCTTGTCTCCTCAGCAGACTGAATCTCCAGTTGTTCATAGGGATTTGGGCTTGGTAACAGGCCCTTTCTGAATGGCTTTCCCTTTTTCCTGGCCCTCACATCCCTGCCTCAGCTTGGGCTTCTAGAGAAACCCAAGCCAAGACAGAGGGCCTCCACAATGTCCCTCTTCTTAAACACCTGTGCCACTCGTTCCTAATCTAATCCAAGAATGAACGTCCTTTTTTTTTTTTAAATCCCACTATCATGGCATCAACTCCAGCTCATAATGACCCTGTATAGGGTTTCTAGGAGTCCTGTCATGGCACTGTACGATAAGCAGTCAATTGCAAGGTTGTTTTGAATGGCAAGGTTGGTGGTTCAAACTCACCAGATGCTCCTCAGAAACTCTGTACAGGGTTGCTATGAGTCGAAACCGACTCGATGGCACTTAACAACAACAAACAATAGATGGCTCTTAATTTTTTTCTTTTTTCTTTACGGGAACAGACAGCCTCATCATCCTCTCTCAGAGCAACTGGTGGGTTCAAACTGCTGACCTTGCAGTTAGTTGTCCAGTACTTACCCTACAGTGGTGCCACCAGGGATCCTTTTAGTGCCTCTAGTGAGCACCTAAGGAGCTCTGGTAGTGTAGTGGTTACGAATCGGGCTACTAACCTCAAGGTCAGCAATTCAAAATTATCAGCTGTTCCGTGGGAGAAAGATGAGGCTTTCTGCTCCCATAAGGATTTACAGCCTCAGAAACCCTGTACAGGGTCGCTATGAGTCGGAACTGACTCCACGGCACCTAACAACAACGACAACAAGTGAACAACAGGTGTGTCCTGCAGGACTCCTAGTTTGATGCTATAGGATCAGCTCTGGAGTGCAAACCACAAGGTCGGCAGTTCAAACTCACCAGTTGCTCCTCAGAAACCCTGTACAGAGTCGCTATGAGTCAGAATTGACTCGACAACACTTAACAACAACAATGGACAGCAAGTCAAGAACATCTTAACACTCTTCAGGATGTAGGCCTGTGTTTCTATCCCAAAACAGTACTTAAAACAACCACCATTCATTTTGCTCATAATTCTGCAATCTAGGCTGGGCTCAGCTGGGTGGTTCTGCCATCTGGACTTGGTCATTCCTGCAGTTGCCGTCCGCTGGAGACCTGATTGAACTGGGGAGCCAAGACAATTCCATATGTCTGGTCTGAGCTGTAGAAAGAACACTGTACTGCTAACCTCAGGTCAGCAGTTCAAATCCACCAGCTGCTCCATAGGAGAAAGATAAGGCTTCCTACTCCTGTAAAGATTTACAGACTGGGAGTCTAAATGGGGTTGCTATAAGTTAAAATCAATTTAATGACAGTGGATTGGGTCTCAGCTGAGATGGTTGAAATGGCTAGGAGCAGGCAGAACATCTCTCCAAAAGAGTAGCTAGTGGCTTCCTTCGAAGGTGGCTCAAGGGCTCCAAGAGAACAAGTCCCTGCTTGCATTGTGCTTACTGATACCTCATTTGCCAAGGTTAGCCTTGTTGCCAGGCTGAGAAGTCAGGGCGGGGGCACTAAACAGGTAGAATATTGGGAGGTGGGAGGCAGATTTCACCAAGGTCAATGGGGTAAGTCTCACATCTGCTTCTCTGAACCAGCATGTACCAAATCAAAAAACTCCACTGCCAATGAGTCGACTGTGACTCAGACTCGAACCAAACCCACTGCCATCAAGTTAATTCTGACTTAGAGCAACTCTGAGTAGGGTTTCTGAGGCTGTAAATCTTTTTATTATTATTATTATTAATGTTTTATTGTGAATTATGTGATAGTTTACATGGGAGAACATTAGTTTTACATTCATTCTATTGTATATTGTTTCATTGCCATGGTTACAATCCCCTCCATGCATCATCAACCAACCAAAGGGTATACACTACAAGCCTGCCCCCCCCCCCCCCCAGGTCGTCGGCACACAGCCCCTCTCCCTCTCTGGATCTAAAGTCCCCAGCTGCTCCATCTCTCCATGTCATCATCGCTACCTCCATTTCAGGCATCACTGCTTCTCTGGGTAGGATCTCGCTCTCCACTCTTCTCCATTGATGGTCCCAGGGACCTCCACTCTTAGACTGCTGAGGCTGTAAATCTTTACAGGAGCAGAAAACTTCATCCTTTTCCTGTCCATTAACTGGTGGTTTTGAGTTGCCAACTTTGCTATTAGCATTCCAACTCCTAATCCACAATGCCATCAGAGTAACTGCTCATATATTGTTGTTGTTAAGTGCCATAGAGTCATTCTGACTCAGTGACCTATATAGGGTTTCCGAAGAGTGGCTGGTGGATTTGAACCATTCGACTTTGCCATTCAAACCAACATTGCAATTGAGTGCTTATCCTACAGCAAGGCTTCAAAAAGTTCATGGGAAAATTTCATTATATTTGAATTTCATTTTTCCATGAACTTTTTGAAGCTACCCACATACTCACATAGTGACAAATTCAGGATTATTTATGATAGCTACATTTCACTAATTCTAAGAAGAGCTTAATTGGAATTCCTCTTTACCTATACTTTTTTCCTTTGTGATATATAAAATAATTTAAGATGATGGCATCTTAAATTCTGTTGAGATATAAGATGCAACACACATACATATATAGCACAAATGTGATAGAATGTTCCTAAGAAATTTTTAATTTTTAAATTCTTAAAAATAAAATCAGCTTCAATGGGGAAACAGGAAGGGTTTATAGGCACAAACCTACCAACCGCTCCTTGGAAACCCTATACATAGTCGCTATAAATCAAAACCCACTAGACTGTACTTAACAACAAAAATTGGGCACTGAAGTACCAATGAACAGTCTTGCCCACTGCCATCAAGTTGGTTCCAACTTACAGTGACCCGATTGGACAGAGTAGAATTATTCCATAGGTTTTTCAAGACTGTCAATGTTTATGAAAGCCAATTGCCTCATCCTTCTTCCATGGAGCAACTGGTAGGTTTGAACCACTGACCATGCAGTTCACAATCCAACCAACAGCACTTAATCAACAGGGCTCCTTAAATGAACAATAACAAAGCTATTTTTCCTGCTGGAATTTCAATAATAACATTTTTTAAACTCTAAGTATTGCTATTAAAATGTAAATACTATAGAGGAATCACAGACAGAGCATGTTGAACAAAGTGGCCTTTCATACCTCATCTGCTTGGATTTCTGTACCCATTGTTGGCCTGTTAATTACCCTTAGTTGTGGAAACACACAAAGGCAGATTTCTGCCCCCTGCCTGTAGTACCAGTGATTGATTGCCTCAAAGCATTTCTAGTATAAGTGACGTTATGAACAGTATCAGAACCATAGGGCAAACTGGCTTCTCTAATGAAGCTGTAGCATTTTATCCAACTTGCATCAAGAAGGCATCTTTCTCCTAACACCAACCAGGTGTATATTTGATATCTGTGACCTGTATTTACATGTATATATTACAAAGAACTACCATAAGCTGATGAGGTCCTTTGAGAGAACTAGAAAGTTCTTCCCACAAATCAACCCGATGCTGATGAAGTCAGGACATGGCACTTTACTGCCATCTACTGATTAATTGTGGTCAGGAATAAAGAGGCTCTCTGGCACTGTAGGATGAGCTGTGGAATGCTAACCATAAGGTCAGCGGTTCAAACCCACAAGCCACTTCTCAGAAACCCTACACAGGGTCGTTATGAACCAGAGCTGACTCGATGGCACATAACAACAACTACTATATCTAGGGCAATTCTGGTGTGGTACTGTAGGATAAACACTTAACTGCTAATCAAAAGGTTGGTGGTTCAAACCTACCAGCGGCTCCTTGGAAACCCTATACAGGGTCATTGAGTCAGAACGGTTTTGACAGCACTTAACAACAGACATGTCTAGGAGGTGAATGGTGTCAACTAGAATTCTGCAGTGTGTGTGAACACCATATGGGACAGCCTCAAATTAGTGGATAGTAGGTTAACACAGACTTACGGATGCTAAAGCCAGATACTTGGGTTTATCCCTAGCTCTGACCCTTCTAGATGGTGACTTTGGGGCTGTGATATATAACTTCTGTCTCCCATTTCCTAATGTATAAATGGGGAGATTACCTGCATTATGGGACAGAAGCGGCCACATGACTGTCTGCTACCATATTGTTTTAAATTTTATTTAACAAATACTTTGTGAGGACCAGGCTCAGTTCTAAAGTTTTACAAATATAAACGCTTTCAATCTTCACAACTGCACTTTTGGGATAGGCCTATGTAGAGGACTAACTGTATCATGTCACAAAATGGGATCTGTACACCAATAGGTGTTTGCAGATGTCATGTCCTGGACTGTGACCAGAATTCCCACCTTCTAAGAAGGAATGAAGACTTTGGGGAATATGATGGGCCATTTGAGATTCCTGTCTCCCATTGGGCTCTATGGTTAGAGGTGAGTGTTGTGTGTGACGGTGTGTGGAGGGCAAGGAAAACTTGACAGAGCCTTCTCAAGTCCCTGGAAACCAGGATAAAAGCTGTGACCGGTTCAGCACCGTGGAAAGCTCCTGGTTGGCACTGAGAGCCCATCCAAGATCTCTGGGCTCCGCCTCTTGAGGGCCTCCTGCAGGCCCCGCCCAAATTTAAAGATCCCTCATCCATTTTAGACGTCCTGGTGTGTGGCTCTGTGGGTTAGTGCGCTGGACTGCAAAGTCGGTTTGAACTGCAAGGTCAGCAGTTCAAACTCACCAGCCGCTCCTCGGAAACCCGATACAGGGTCGTTAGGAGTCAAAACCGACTTAAAGGCACTTAACAACAACAACCTCCAGTTTAAGGAGGTGAAGGATGCCTGGGCAGGGATGAACACCAACACCCAGAGCGGTGATGATACCATGATCCCCCACAAAGACACAGGCTGGCCTGGTGGGGAAAAGAACTTTATTGGGTCGTTAGTAGGAAAACTGTGGGAAGTTGAACTCTAGGGAACAGCAGACATTGGGACCAAAGCGACGGTCACTTTAAGGAGCCATAAATTAATTTACAAAATAAATTAAAGTGAAAAAGTCCCAAGTAGGGAGGTGGCTGGGGAAAGCTGGGGATTTCTTAAGGATAAAAAGGGGAAATGAGACTTTCTAGCCCCCTCCCCAAAGGGTGTGAAATGAACTCTTCATGACTCCCCCAGGCTAGAAGTTGGGATTCTGGGGCTCCAGGAAATGGGAAGGTCTGGGTTTAGTTGAAAAGGGACCGGGTCAGGGCCGTTCCTCCAGGAAGCGGTAGGTGGGGTTCTCATAACCATGATGCTGTAATTCACGGAGCTGCTGCTCCTCCAGGGTTACCTGCAACAGGGGCAAGAGAGGGGTGGTGGGCAACCTCAGCCTATTCCTGCCCAAGCCCAGGAAATCCTCCCCATTTCACCTCTTTGTGTCTCTCACCTCCACCACTCCATGACTGATGGTCCCATAGGGCTTCTTCCTGCGCAAGAGCAGCAGGGAGAGGACGATCAGGGAGCCCCCACCTGCTGCCAGGATCAGCAACCCAGACAGAGCCTCACGGGACACACCGGTCCCAGCTGGTGCCTACAAGAAGAGGAGATGAAGCAGAGGTCATCTTTCAGTACTGAGTGCCCTTGGGCATCAGGTCAGACCTTGGTCATTGACCTTGAGCCCCTGCCCCTAGGTATCCAGAATAATCTATCTCTTACCAGCTCATCCCTTTGAATCTCCGATGAGTGAAAAGGGAAGCCCCTTGGAACAGACACATTCACCTGGGAGAGCAGGAAGTGTCAGGACCCAGACCTCCTCCTTCCCAAGAACCCAAGGAAGTATCCCCAAGTCCTCTTCTTCCCTAGGATCCTGAAGTTCCTATTCTCAGTCCCCTGCTTCCCTTAGACCCAGGAGCTCATGCCATATCCACTGTTGTCCCCCAGGAGCTCAGATTCCAGGCCCCCAGCCCTTTCTTCCCTCAAGACACAGTTTTGACTAACTTACCTTTTGCTCATACTGTTCCAGGGGAGATAGCTTTTCTCTTGCAGGGGATGTAGCCTCTTGTTCTGTGAACCCTGCCCCACAAAGTCTCTTATTTTTGAGGATCAAGGGGTGCTACACCCTCTTGGGAAGGGGTCAGAAGGGGCATCATGTTCTATCCCAGAAGGTCTGGGGTTCCCAATACCTGAATCATTTTTCACTCTGGGTTTGGAGGTGTACTCTGTGGAACACTCACCTTTAGGGAAGGCCATGGGAGTGTTTGCTGGCAGCCAGAGGAGTCACGGCAGGTGGAAGTAGAACAGTAAAGAGAGGAGGTATGTCATCAAAGAAAGGGTGGACCCTCCCAGGGACCAAGGAAGGAGGATCAATGGTCCAACATTAGCATTTCTCCCCACATTGTGGTGACTAAAACCCCCACCCCTAAACTTTAAGAAATTAGAAATGAGGTTAGGGGTTACTTCTTCAAAGCTTGGGGTTATCTAGATGCGGACTCACTGACCATCCTTGGAATCCGGTGACTGCAGCCCATCCTTGTCCTCACTGCTGGCCCCTGGGATAGGGGCTTCCAATTCGTTGGGGATCAGATGTTCAGAGTGGAGGAGGTCCTCTGAAGGGAACATGTAGAAAGGTGACATATGCGGTGAGCATGTCGACATGTGAAACTCAACAAAACAAAACTGGGTAAATGAAGCGCCCCTGAACGGTGGAGTGAATGGGAGGCCACAGAGAGCAGTCAGTCCCAAGTGTGGACTGGTCATAGTGGGCACACTGGCAGGGAGGCGAGAGGCTGGTTTCATAAAAGAGCACGAGAATCGGCATTGGAGGTGAGCAATCCAATCAGAAGTCCCAATAGATTTGAGGGTTGCCAAACTTTCTGATACTCATGCTCTTGTCTAGGTCCCTCTCCTTGAACTTGTACTGGATTTGTAACTTTCATTAACCAGTCGAATGTGGACCCAAGTTTTAAGATCGGGCAGCTTCCATTTCTGTGCTACAACGTAAGAAGTCAGTGGAGAACAGGTACTGAGAAGGAGCCAGTTGCCAGCTGCTGTTGCCAGTCCCCTGCCCCCAGCTGCTCCATCAGCTTAACTAGAGGCAAGCTCAGCCGAACCCAGACCAGGCTGAAGAATCATGAGCAAAGGAAATGGTTATTAATTTGAGTCACTTAACTTCTGAGGTGGTTTGTTACATAGGAGTAAGTAACTGAAATGGGGGCAGGGGATGTCAGGGATTTGGATGGGGTTCAGGAGTTAGGGACACCCACGAATCTGAGGCTGAAGTTCCTGAGCCAGCTGGGGGTTCTGGTCTAACAGGCCCAGGCTCTGATTCATCCTTTCCTCAATCACTTGAAGATGTGTCTGCACCTGTGGGGAGAGTGAGTATGAAAGATGAGCTGGAGATGGAGAAACTGAGGCAGGGAGGAAGAGGAAAGCAAGCAGGGTCCAAGGAAAAGTAGTACATACAATGGATAGGCAGTACGGTACAAAGGTTGGGAATTGGACCACAGAAGGAAAGAAATTGAAAGAGAAGGATAAAGAGAAAAGGAAAAGGTGTACAGAAAGAAGGGAAAAAAACTAGCACAAGAAAATGTGGGGCCGAGAGACAAGGTGAGAACAGAACGTGGGGCATATTGCACAGGAGGCAAGAAGTAGAAGTCAATGGGGTACGATGGGCAGGAATTAGGGTCTAAGCAAAAAAAGTGGGGTCTGAAGCACAGGAGTAGGTTCCAAGGACAGGAAATGGAATTGGAAGTTCACACAGACACAAAAGTGATGTGGTTCAAGCGCAAGACTTGGAGTTCAAGAACACAAAATGTAGTTTTCATGGATAAGAAGCAAACATCCATGGAAGCAGAATCAGGATCCAAGGGCATAGAACAAGGATTCCTTTTAAGGGGGGCTAGAAGCAAAGAGTCCTGGTGTGGCGCTGTGGGCTAATTAATGTATCAGACTGCAAAATCATTTGAACTGCAAAGTCAGTGGTTCAAGCTTACCAGCTGTTCCTTGGAAACCCTATACAGGGTCGCTATGGATCGGAATCGACTCAACAGCACTTAACAACAACAGAGGTAAAGAAGGAGGGTTGAGGAACAGGAAGAGGGTTCAAGACACAAGAGGGAGATTCAGCTAATAGGAGTAGGACTCCAAGGGACAAGAAGGGAGCCAGAGTGACAGGAATGGGGAACACTTTTCTGAAGTCAGGAAGTAGGGATCCAAGAGACAAGAAGTAAAGTGAAGGGCTAGAAAGAATCCTGAGGCACAAAAAGGGGGCTCTAGACATAGAAAGTAAGCTCTAAGGATACGAAGGAGGGCCGAGGGACAGGAATTGGGCCTGAAGGACAGGAGAAGAGTCTGAGGGATGGGATTCAAGGGACTGGGGACTAAGGGACAGCTGGAAGAATCTAGGCACCTGGAAATGCATCTGCTGGGCTTTCTCGGGATCCACGGCAACCACATGTTGGTAGTGCCGCAATGTGTGTCTTTGCTCCTTCTGCTCAGCATGCAGATAGCGCCGCAAGGCTGCCAAGACACGGTCTGCCTGCAGAGAGGAAAAGGTTGCCTTAGCCCACCCTACCCCTTCACACCCATCCCTGCCCCGGGAGCCTGCTGCCCTCAGAGTCCCCATACCTGAGGTGGGTCCCCCTGCAAGGCTGCCAGGAAACCTTCCAGCGCAGCTCGCCGCTGGTCATTGATAAGAGCGATAACCCGGGTGGTGTGAGTCTCCACCAGACGTTGTCGCTCACCAGACACTTGTTCTTCCAGAGTCTGCAGAATGGACTGGAAGTGCTGGCAAGGGGGTGGGCACAGGGTCAGGAGAAATAAAGATGGGTGAAAGTCTAAGGTCAAAGAAAGTCTGGAAAGGGAAAGGTTACAGGGTCTAGGGCTGGGTGGGACCAACCTGGAGGTGACACTAGGTCAAAGCAAACTGATTGGAAGGTGGTGAGGAGGAGATTACAGATCAGCCTAATGTGAACCGTTCTGAGGATGTAACTTGTATTGGGAGGGAATGATCTGGAAGTCGGAGTGGCTGGTAGTGTAGTGGTTAAGAATCGGGCTGCGAACCTCAGGGTCAGCAGTTCGAAACTACCAGCTGTTCCGCGGGAGAAAGATGAGGCTTTCTGCTCCCGTAAAGATTTACAGCCTCGGAAACCCTGTACAGGGTCGCTATGAGTTGGAACCGACTCCACAGCACATAACAACAACAACAAAGGAGTGGCCAATGCCAAAGTGAAGAGGACACAGTCATATACGGTCTTGGCCCCGGGCAGAACCAAACTGGAGATAGGCGGAGCCTAAATGAGACTGAGATAGATTGTACCATGAGTCAGGGAAGGCGGGCAAACCGGAGCAATAGGACAAACCCACTCTATCTGAGGAGGACTGTACCAAGGTGTAGTTGACAGAGATTGGACCATGAGGAGACTAGGCCTACTGAGGAGGGACTGAATGCAAGTGCAGCTAGAGGGGTGGGAGTGGAGTCAGAGGTGGGGCCTAATAGGGAGGTGAATACTTCAGAGAGGCTGGCTATATCTGTGGGGGGCCCGCCTTGAGATAGAAGGACTCCAGAGCCAACCCTCAGAAGGATCAAGTCAAGATAGGGCAAAACATGGTCTATCTGAGGAGGAATAATGTCAGGTCAGATGCAAGCCAAGAGGGGTAGAGCCAAATGTAGAAGCAGGTTCAGAGAGGCCAAGGAGGAAGGGGTAGAATTGAATGAGGTGGAACATGGCCTATGACAGGCGACAATGAGGGGGCATGCATTAGTAAGACCTGCTGGCGACTGTCCTACCTCATTAAGGGCCTGTCTGTCAGCTTTAGGCAGGTTCTTGGACTGGTTGTCTGCCATGGCCCACTCACGCATCACCTGGGCCAGAGGAAGTGTTTCAGAATCCTAGACTCCACCCTGTTCTACCGATTGAATCCCCAACCCCCCCTTCAGGATCCTGGAGGTCCCAATCCCTTGAATTGCATTGGCTCTTTGGTTTGTGAGAAAGACTCAGAAGGATTTTAAAATGGAAGTATAACCAGAGTTAGCATAGAATCTGGGAGCATCCCAATGGGATTCTAGGTGGGTCAGGAAGCCCTGGTGTATTAGAGGGTGGTGTTGAGGACCGGGGGTTGATAGGAGCCTGGGAAGCCCTTGAAGGTTGTCTCAATGGGTCCCTGGGATTTTCTGGCATTTAAGCAGCTCTGTAGGGTCCTGGGGCCCTGAGTGACATCACCTCGTTAATCTGGCGCATCCTACGCTCCTCCAGGTCCATCTTGGCCCGCAGGAATCCCTCATGTTCACTGATTTCCCCAGGCATGCCAAAGTACACGTCCACACCGTCCGTGGGCCTCGGGGTGGGAGTCACTGTGAGGCCAGGGATCAGGGGTCTGCCTGTGGCCTACCTCCAGGTCACCTTTCCTACCTGGAGAACTGTATTTCCCAGAGTGCATTGGAGAGCACTATGTATGCAGTTTAGTCACAGCAGTTTGCCTGACATCCTGGGAGACGCAGTTCTGAACCAGGTCTGTTTTTGCAAATCTTAGGAAGAGGCCTTGAAGCTTTCTCTTAGGACCTCCAAGCTTTTTCTTAGAATTTACCAAATAGTCCTTCCTCTTTCACTTAACCCCCAAACCAACTGCTCCCTTTGCTTTATTCACAGGTCAGCCCTTCCATTTCACCCAAATGGATCCTCCCAAATGTCCCTTTAGACCCAAGGTTTAGAGATTACCTTACCTTGGATGACTCCTGCAGGCGTGTGGGCATTTGGGGGTGAGACTCTTTCTTCCTCCTCTTCCTCTTGAGCCCGTGGGGGCTCCACAAAGTAATCATCCACTGGCTGTAGGAAGGATTCTTCCTCTTCCTTCCCCCCCTCTGCTCTGGCCCCCAGAGGCCAGGATCGGGTGGAAGGGTCACTGAGGGAACAGAAGGAGATCTGAGGCAGTAAGAATGGTGGGGGGGGGGCCCAGGTCTCCAGTATCCCATCCCTACCCCAGGCTCCCTCCCACTCACCCAACTGCTGTCCTAGACAGGTCAGGGGTCGCCAGAGGGGGGCAGCACACATACTCCACACCCCGGAACCGATCCACACCACAGGGCAAAAGCATGCCCGAGCCATGCAGGATGAGGCCCTGGGAGCTGCAGGCCTGCAGAAAGAGTGATCTCAGATGTCAGGGTTGTGGGGTAGGAAGGGGTGATGGCGGGGCCTGGTCCCCTGGTTCTGGAGGAAGGGACTGGGGTGCAGTTCCTAGATCCTGGTAGGAAGAAAGGTAGGTCTGGTGGTACTATCAGAAAAGCACTGGACTGCTAATTGCAAAGTTGGCAGTTCAAACCCACCAGCCACTCTTCGGGAGAAAGATGAGACTTTCTGCTCTCTTAATGATTTACAGACTGGAAACCCTAATTCAAAGTCGATATGAGTCAGAATCGACCTCATGTCAGTGGATTTTGTTGTTGTTTTCCGGGGGTTGGTGGGAAGAAGAGGCTGGGGACCCCAGACTCTTTGCTTCTGAGGATATAGGAGGCTGAAGGCCTGGATTCCCGATTTTGACAGAAAAAGTAGCTGGGATTGGCAAGAAAAAGTAGCTGGGATTGGCATTAGGGTCCTGGACTCCGGGGTCCAGAGGGAAGAGCGAGCAAGGAGACCTGACAGCTTGGGCCCCAGGGTCTTGGTTCTGACAGAGGAGGATTTAGGAGTCTGTATTTCCGGGGATGGGGAGGAGGGGGGTGGGGAATGGGTGGGCCGGGGTCCTAACCTCCTGCGCCTCCTGATGCCTCCGGGTGGAGCTCTCACACTGATCCATGCGCTCTTGGTGCAGGAACCGGCAACCTTCTGGCACCAGCAGAGCCTCACTTACGAATTCACCCCCTGGGGATGCGGAATACAGAGGTGAGACCTTCCGCCAGCCTCCAATTCCACCTCTTCTCAGTGTCCTGATATTTTATTCTCAGAGGTTTCTTTGACTCACTTCAGACTCAAAAACCCAGCCCCCTAAGTAGGTCTGAGACAGAATCCCAGAGACTTGCCTTTCTAAGATCCCCTACTTCGGTTCCCCTCCCCCAGCCTGTGACTCACGCAGGCAGCGGAAGGGCACAACCTGATGGTGAGGTTGGGCACAGTGGCCGTCCCGAGCACCTCCACACCATCGCTCCATGGGAATGGCTTGCGCCGCCTGCTCGACTCGCACAATCTGCAGCTCCGGGTACATCTAGAGGCACCGGGTGGGAGGCAGAGATCAAGCCACTGCCCCTTGTCGGCCGCGCCTCTCCATTTGCCATATATCCCTTATGAGGCAGTCTGCTCCCGTAAAGATTTACAGTCTCGGAAACCCTGACGAACAGTTCTACTCTGTCTTAGAGAATTTCTATGAGTGCGAATCAACTCGATGACAGTGGATTTTGAGTTCCTGAGAATCTTTACTCCCTAGGTTCCCAACCTGCCCATTAGCAACGCCCCCTAGTAGCTTCCCCCCACCCAAAGTCCCCCGCCATTTTAGGTCCCGCCCCCTTGCCAGTCCAGTTTCTTAATGCAAGGTCCCTCAGGTCTTAGGGCAGTTCGTCTCAGTTTACTGTTGTTAAGTGCTGTCCAGTCGGTTATGACTCATAGCGACCCTGTATAGGGTTTCCGAGGAGGGGCTGGTGAGTTTGAACCATCGACCTTGCAGATCAAACCGACTTACAGTCCAGTGCTTATCCTACAATGCCACACTAGGACTCCATTCACTGCCTATAAACTCAATCGCTGGTCCATCTCCCGTAAGCCCCACTCTTCTCTAAGCCCCTTTCTTCGTGTGTCTCGCTATAAAAGTCTCTTCTTGTATTAGGCCGGTTTTTACACAGCCACGCCTCCCACCTACCAACTCTCATTGCGATCTATCCATTTCCAGTCTTATGAGTCCATAACGTGTCTCCTCTGGCCACGCTCACCTATGCCCTTTCTCTTTACAGAACCCACCACAGATTGCAGAGCTCTTCCCCTCTTCCTAACCTAGTTTCTCAAAACAGGTCTTGCCCTACCTTAGCTCCATCTTTTTGCTGACCACGCCCCCTACCATCCTCTGCCTCCTTATATCCCTAGTCCCTCCGGGCCACGCCTTTTGTACATCTAGCTTCCAGTGGGCAGCCGGGTTGACTACACCCCTCTCAATTGATCCCGCCCACCTGTCTGCAGTACTCCAGCACACGCTGCGGGTCGCGAAGACAGCGTCTCGAGCGTTGTGGGTCTGGCTCCCAGCGGCCGGTGCGCAGGTCCCGGTGAAGGGTTAGGCGCCCGCATAGTCCGGCCACTTGGGCCGACCCTGGGACCTGGGAGTGGGAACGGAGGGGTCAGTGAGGATCCAGGGGTTGTTGGCAGGTGGTTTCCTGACACTTCACTCCCCACTACCCAGATGTTCAGACCCCAACACCTGCTCCCTCCCCCAAGCACCGCGCCTCCGCCCCCGTGTAGGCACCGTTCCCCGGGAAACAGCTCCTGCAGGGCGGGGGTGCGCCAGCTCTCCCGTTGCTATGGAGACCAGAGTCCTCCCCCCCCCCCAGGGATTCTAGCGGCACTGTTGCCGCGGAGACAGGCTCCGCCCCCACCCCATACAGACGCGCTGGAGTCCGAAGGGGTTAAACCTGAATCGCGGGGGAGGAAGCCAGAACCCAGGCGTTCTGGCCCCTCCTCTCTCCATCCAAGGCTCAGTGCCCATTCTGGGGTGCAAACATAACCAGGTCTGGCCTTGCAGACCTGGACAGCAAGCCCTTGAAGGATGGGGAGCTACATCCTGGGTCCTGTCCTGGTCCCAGGAGGCTGTAGGGGCTCGCGTCTGAGTCCAGAGGATGTGAGAGGCCTAGATATTAGGATCCATGTGCCTTTCTGCCTGGCGGGTCCTGTGTTCAGGTGGGAGGGGGCTTGAGCCAAGTCTCCTAGGTGGAAGAGGCCTGGAGGGGGCTAGGCTTCTTGATTTAGGGACTCTGAAAAACATATTTCTTATGTCTAGGGGCGGGGGCTAGGACGTCTGACGAAGGGGGAGCTGGGGCCTGGAACCTGGTTCATGAATACCTAGTGCTGCTGGGGGATCGCCAACCTGGCTGGAAAGACTGCTCTTGCTGCCTAGAACATGACCACGTCGGGGTCCAGAAGCCCGGTCCCACCCTTCCCCCACCCCCAGGACCTGGCCCGGCCTCACCTCGGCCGCGCCTGGGCTCCCACCAGCCAGGCTCCCGGTGGCGAGCTGCGCGCGCAGAAGCAGCAGCAATAGTGGCAGCAACAGCGGCAGCGGCGTCGGGCCCCAGCGGCTGCCCAGACCGCGAGCGACGGGGCTGGCAGGCCCCATGTCCCGGCCCTAGCGCCCTCACGTCCCCTGCACTCCCGCCCGGCCCGGCCCCAGCGGTGACAGGAGCTCCCAGCGCCACAGCCACCGCCTCCAGGCTGCGCCGTGCCTCTAGCCCCGCCCCGCGCCGGCCCCGCCTTCCCGACCAGGACAATAGCGTGGCGGCTCTGCGCAGCTTGAAGCAGCTCGCAAATCCCGGGTGGGGGCCTGACGCACGCGCCCCTCTAGATCCCAGGCGTCGCACCCCATGCAAGTGTCAGCCAGGCAGGAGTCTGGGTCGCGGGTTCGGCAATTGTGGATTTTGAGTTCTTCATCAAGACCCAGGAATCCTCACCCCCACCTCTCATCTCTGAGACTCAGATATCCACTATCTGCTCCTCCAAAGATACCAACATTGGGGACCCTCCCCAATTCCTCTGATGTCCCAGGAATGCAATCTTCCAAAATGTCCTCTGTCGAGAACATAACAGTTGAGACCCAGACCCCTTCTTCAGATACAGGAATCTGAGCCCAGGACAATTTCTCTCTCAGAACCAGAGATTAAACCTCTAATCCCTTCTCTCTCAGATCCTGATGTCCAGGCCTCCTGCCCTGCTTCCTAAAGATCCCAGGTGACTGGACCTTTAATTCTCTCCTAGCTCAAGGGTCCCTAGACAAAAGTCTCCAGGTGATGTAAATCCAGGACCCCCAGCTCCTTACCCATCCAGGAGCTAGGGCAAGGGTCTGGGCCCTAAGGACCAAGGGGTTTCTGTTTGCCAGCCCTTCCCAGCATCCTTCTCCCTCTTAGGGCTTATTCTTTGTTTCCTCTAATTGGAATGTGGAATTCTGTCTTCCCAGTCAAAATGAGGGTATATGTACAGCTGTGTTTTTGTCTGTGGATTCACACCCACACATATGTTTTGGTATATGTGTATACATGTGTATGTGTTTGTAAGTGCATATTTAGAGAATCTAGAGTACTAAAAAAAGGAGCTCTGGTAGCATAGTGATTACAAATTGGGCTGCTAACTTCACGGTCAGCAGTTCAAAACTACCAGTTGTTCTGCAGGAGAAAGATGAGGCTTTCTGCTCCCGTAAAGATCTACAGCCTCAGAAACCCCATACAGGGTCACTATGAGTAAGGACGGCTCCATGGCATACCACCACCAGAGTACGAAGCAAGGAGCAAATTTTGGAGCGGGGAATGAATCCTGATTTTGCTTCTACAGCTCCCTCTTAGGTTGAGGAGCAGATTTGATGAGCTACTTCCTTGATGAAGAGGAATAATGCCAGAGAATCCCTAAAACACATTAACTTCTTTGACATATTTTATTAAACATAAATATTCTCCTTCCCATCACACACACACATACAAACCCCTCCCACGACAGTTCTCACCCTATTTCCTATTCCTTGGGTCCAATCCTTTCTGGACCTTTAAGGAAGGAAGAAGAAATCGAGATGGTGACCATCTTGAGTTTCATGCTGGCTGCACTTCCATTGGCCAAGCAAAGTACCCTCCAGGGAGAGCCAGGAGAGGGTGGGGTCTATTTTATCCTCCATCTTCATCTCCCCTATTCTATCTTTCTCATAGATCTTGAAGTATTTTTTCTTCAGTACCAGGGACAGCTTCCATCCCAGCCTCTAACTCCCACCACCTATTGTCCCCATGCCTCTGCAAAGGGGCCAGATATCTGCCATCTTGAATATCTTTGACATATGGGGGAAAGGTGGGCATAGCAGTCACCTTGTTTCCATGTGGGGCATCCTCTTTGGCTGAACTGACCCTCTATCAATTACTTACACATCTGCAATCGTCTTTCCCTCCCCACAATGTTCAATTTTAGAGGCATAAAGTTGCCAACTTATTCTGGTTCCTCAGAAGTTGGGATAATCCATTATGTCAAGTTGACAATTAGATTCCAGGACTCTTCAGTCAGAGAGGTGTCACACATGAGTCTGGAGACGGGGGTGGCTGGGTGTGGGGAAGGAAGCATATGAAAAGCGGGGAGTCTCTGGGGCCATGTCTGGGGGTCCAAAGGATGTGGGTTTGATGTAGTTAGTGAAAGCTCGAGGGTGGGGTGTGGTGAGGTAACCAGCCCTGGCTCTATATATTCTGCAAGGGGGAACCATACCCAGGTGTGGGCTGAAATCATAGAAGGTAGGGGTTGCTGGGGGCCTAAGGGGAGAGGTGGGTGGCAGAAAGAGGCCTCCTCCGGGGACTTCTCCGAGGCTCAGGCTCATGCTGACTCCTCGGACCTTGTAGTAACCGTTGGTTGGGTCCTGAAAGGACAGACAGAACTTGGTAAGGAATGTATGGGTACAGGGAGCTGAGAGTCACTGATGGAGGGACACACTGATGGAGAGACAGAGCCAGACCTAGAGAGAGATAAAAGGACAGAAACAGAAGCAAGGGGGAGACCCAGAGACAGAGAGGAAGACAGACAGAGAGACAGAAAAATAGTGACAAGGGGCAGATGGAGGCAAGCAGAAGATGGCAGAGATGGAGACAAAAACAGAACATGACAGAGACATGGAGAGACATAGGTCCCCTGTGGAGTCCTGGTGGAGTCCTGGTGTGGTGCTGTGGGTTAATGCGCCAGACTGCAAAGTCATTCGAATCGCAAGGTCAGCGGTTCAAGCTCACCAGTCGCACCTTGGAAACCCTATACAGGGTCTCTATGGGTTGGAATCAACTCGAGGACACTTAATAACAACAATGGACTCATGGTATGGAAGGAGATGCAGAGAGAATGAGAGAAAGACTGAGACAAAGAATTATTCATTCATCAGCCTAACAGCCCCTAGGGAATCCCTGGTTAGTACACTTAGCTGCCAACCAAAAGGCTAGAGGTTGGAGTCCAGCTAGAGGTACTTTGGGGGAAAAAAAAAAAAAAAGGTCTGGTGTGATCTATTTCTGAAAAAGTCAGCCATTAAAAACCCTTATGGAGCACAGTTGCACTCTGACATACATAGGTTTACCAGGAGTCAGAATTAACTTGATAATTACTGGTTAATAGCCCCTGAGCTTTGATTCTGTGCCATGTCCTATAGCCCTGCTAGAGACACCTGTCAATAGGACAAATCTGGGTCCGATCCCCATGGGGAACCCAGATCAAGGGGGACACGACAAATCACTAGACAGAGTCCAGAGGAGTCAGGACAAGCAGAGTAACTGTAGCAGCTGTGGGGAAATGATCACAACAGTAATGGGAACAACACAAGAGTGTTCAAGTTGTTATGGGGAGAGCTTAGGTGAGTGACTGGGGCTGGACAGACGGGGAACCCAGGTCCCTGGTCATGGCTGTGGTTGGGGAGACACAGGCAGAGTTGAGTTATTAGGAGTAGGATGGGGATGCTGAGGACAGAGTGGTCACAGTTGTGGGTGGGGGGAACACAGGCAGAAAGGTCAGGGCTGGTTTTGGGAAAGCATGGGCTTCCTAGAACAAGGGATGTTTGAGCTGAGAGTAGAGGAATGAAGGAGGAATTAAGCAGCTTTGGGAACATGGGAGTGTTTTAGATCAAGAGAATAGCAAGTGAGTCCTGATATGGCACTATGGGATAAAGCACTAGACCGAAAAGTCAGTTTGAACCACAAGGTTGGCAGTTCAAACTCACCATCCACTCCTCGGAAACCCTAACACAGGGTTGCTATGAGTCAAGAACTGACTTGATGGCACTTAACAACAAGAAGGTACATAAGAACAAAAGGACTCTGGGCTGGGAAATGGACTCAGTGGGGCAGGTTTGGGACTATATCAGGCCAGTGTTGGACTCAGCAGGTGCTAGGGAAAGGGGGGCAAGAGGGTCAACAACCAGGAGACTTGAAACATGAGTGTGAAACATAGACAGATGTAAAAAACACAGGCCATAAAAAACCCCTGGTCTGAGGCTTAAGAGAGGGAGGTCAGAGCTGAGACAGATATATGGGCATGGTCAGATAAGTAAACTAAGGCTGTGAGGTTGGCTGAAATGGCTAGGGAGTAGGGGAGGCACTAGGTTTCAGTTTCAGGAGCAATAGGATCAAAGAAGAGACGGAAGCAGTGAGAGACATAGATAATGAAGGGAGACCCTCCCCTCTCAACACTCACCTTGGTCTCCAGAATCTTCTCCTCATCCAAACCCAGATCACTGTGGTCCGTATGTGGGATGGGGCCCTGGGGATGGGTTCATAGTGAGAGGGAGTGGTCAGAGGATCGTCCTACCCTAGTGCCAGACCCCAGGGTGGAGTGTAGGCCAGGGGAGAGGGAGCTGGAGTCTAGAGTCCAGGACAAGTCCTGGGGACATATTTGATGTACGAAGTAATTGGGTCAGGTGCATATATAGTCTTGGGGCACATTAGGTCTGGGGTCACTGTTGGACTGGGGCCAATTTGTGTTTGAAGTCCAGTTGGAGTTGGGAACACTGTTAAGACTGGGTCATTATTAGGTCTGGAGTATGGTTGATTCTGGGGACCCTGGCAACCTACCTGGTCCTCTCCGCTTGCTGTCTCCTCTTCCTCAGGGCCCCGAGAACTGGAACCGTCGCTGCTGCCGGGGATTCGCACCAGGTTCTTTTGCTTGGAGAAGGAGTCTGAGGCCCGCAGCATGAGGCAAAGAGATAATCATAGGGAGGGGTCACGGTTTGTGAAGATCACTGAAGGAACACACAGGACTGAGAGTTCCCAAGAAGGGGAGGGTAAAACATGTGACCCTGAGGGGGTGGATTTAGGGTTTGAGGGAGAAAGCATAGCTTGCCAAGGGCCAAGTCCTAGGCCTGGTGGGATCAGTGTGCAGGGTGCTGGGCAGGTTTGGACACTGACCTTTGCTATGGCGACAGCAGCAGAGTGCCACCCCAGTAATGACCATCAGGAGAGTGGTGGCCATGGTGGCCACTCCAGCCACAATCCGCACAATAGGCAACAAATCTACAGGGAGAAGAGTGAGAGTCCGGAGGGCAAGTAAGCAGGGGGTTGGGAATAATCTGTGAATAGAGGCTTAGAGCTTGGGTTTGGGCTTCCAGGGATTCAAAGGTCACCAAATTATAAAATTTCCAAGGTTTGTATCTCCCCTGCTTGGAGTTCCTGGGTTTAAGGGTTCATGAATTTGAATTTCAGAGTACATGAATTTAAACTTACTTACATTGGAGAGTTTTAGTTTGAGGGTCCCTTTACTTTGTAATTCTCCATATTTGGAGGTTCCTTTCTTCCGGCCCTCTCCTTTTAGGATACCCTACTTGAGGCGATTTACTGTTTAAGGGTCTCAGAAACAAGAGTCGGGTAGTTTTGATGTTCTCAAAGTAATAGGGTCTATGGATTTGTGGACCATCAGTTTGTAAATCCTTGCGTTTGGGGAGCTTATGTCGCTGCTGTGGGTTAACGCGCCAGACTGAAAAGCCATTTGAACTGCAAGGTCAGAGGTTGAATGAAGTTCACCAGCTGCTTCTGGAAACCCTACAAAGGGTCTCTATGGGTTGGAATCAACTCGACAGCACTTAACAGTAACAACAATGGTCGCCAGAATTGGGGTCTCCAGGCCCAGGGTCTCACCTCTTCTGTCCAGGCTGATCTGGGTGCCTCCCACGCCCAAGCGATTGCGAGCACTGCAGTTGAAACCCCGGCTAAAGTCGGACTCTTGAGTCCCGGAAATGTGCAGCACTGAGATGAGGCCGGGGCCCTGC